GACAACTTAGGAAGTTGGAATAGTTTCTAAGACAATATAAAGAAGCTATTTATTTTTAATTTAATCAAAACACAAACCCATCTGAAATGAAATGTGACATCTTCCTCAAAATTAATAATACACATACCTTGTATATGTGTGTATATATGTAATACAATACCTTGTATTTATAGGTTTGGGTATAGTGTCTTTAGAAAATCATCTGGTAAGAACAAAACCAAAACAAGTACCAAGTTGTTAAAATAACCTTTAAACAATTGCTCTTGGATATCATTACACTGGTACTGTATGTCAAGCCATGTGCATCCCTGGAGCTACTCGTTCACAAGTTTGGGTTGTCCTTTCTTTGCCTTCAGGACATTGAAAGTGCTCCATGAGAGGGAAGTGGTGATATAAGCAATGGCTGACTCGAGGACTGAGAGGGAAACGGTAAGGAAGTAAGAGGAAGGGGAAGAGGAGTTCCTCAGTTTGTGGGCTTCAGGAGGTGCCTCAGGATAGAAAGAGTTACATACAGGTATTTGCCTGTGGAGAAGGCTGGCAAGAAGTGTTCAGCAAAGTCACTCAGCTCGTCACTGCTGAGCAAGAGCCCAGCTGAAGGAATAAGCAAGTCTAGAGAAACCTCTTCCGTATATATGACATTTTCCTACCAAGCGGAACTATTCTTTAAGGCTACTAGTTTATTCACAAAAGCAAAGCAGCAACAGTGTGAGACTTTTTTGGAATGGAGTGTTCTTTCACTCTTAACCTTCAGCCTACACAGCAGGTCTTCCAGTGCAGCTTGGAGAGCACTGAAAGTCTTTTGACTAGAGACAAACTTCTAGATTTTTCTCCTTGAGTAGAGGTGAATACAGTTTCCAAGCAGCAGAGGATGCTTGGTGATACATCTCACCTGCCAAAGTGAGAGCTTTTAACAAAAATACAGTTTGCAAGAAAAGTGGAAATTTTATGCCAGTGGCATGGAATGCAGCCTGATCCCTTTTGCAGCAACGCATTTGGAAGACAGCAACATGTATTGGGCTGTGTTGTCTGCACGAGCAGGCTGTCTTTTGTTCTTTATTCATGCCGCTATTACCACTCCTAAGGTTTCAGAATATGCAGAAATCATCAGTTTCTGGATGAAAAGCAGCTTCCTCAAATGCCACACAGGGCCATTTTGGCATTTCCTTAATAGTAATGCTAGGTTCTTCAAGAAAACCTTAGAGATCGCTTTCTTAAACCCTGCCTCTCTAAGGAGGGAAGGCATACAGCTCAAACCATTAGAAGGATTAAAAACCTTACAGAGTTTACAATAATCAGCAAAGCTGGACAAGCAGTTACCTGCAGTGAGTAACACGTCTTCTTTTACATTCCACTTAAAAGTAAACTATAGAACACGTAGTTGGACCTAGTTCTTGCCACATTGTTCCAGATGCTGGGAGCTGATGCATTACAAGGTGAACGTCTACATGTAGAGATTTCAACTAGTATAACACATGGCTGGATGTCTTCAGGCATTTTTCAGTTTCGCAGCGTAATCCAAATCCTTAGGTTTCTCTTTTAATAAAAACTATGAACGGCATTTCTGATTCTCTTTAGATGCCATGTGCCTCCTGGGAACTGCAGGTTCAAATGGCTTAAATTATCATTTATTTCTATAAAGAGAGTATTGGAAGAACAAGCTAACCCTTAGAAAACTGCAGTTAACCTGGTAGATTCTGTGTTCTCTGTGTTGGATAGAATGATTTTGTATTTCCCCTAAAGGTCAGAGCACATTACAGATGCATGTTCTTATATTTCAGCAGAAAACTTAAAAGGTATGCTTTGGGGGGCAGTTGACAGTGAAGCTAGCAGCCATTTTATAAAATATTTCAATTCATCTTGGAGGGGAAGAAAAGATAAATTTTCTGAACCGGCCAATGTAATTTAAAAAAAAGAAAGAAAAATACTTTTAGCTCCCAGTCACTGGTTGCGGTATGTCAAACAGTAGAGGGGTGGGTAGCAAGAGAGCCTCAAAATGAAAATGTAGCTGTGTGCAGGTGAGTTGGAAGAGCCCATGGTGCCATGCAGTTTTACAGACTACTTGTGACGGGTAGAAAAGCCCAGCAGATGTCGGCTTCTCTAATTCAGCAGGTGATAGGAAGCCATGTTAGAACCAGGAGAGTGTCTGGGGAGGAACCTGTCTAACACTCACTGCATTTAATTGCAGTGCAGAGCCATGCAGGTAAACTGAAGCCAAATCTGGAAGATTAGTTCTGAAGATCTGGCACACTTCTAGTGTGTTTTAACGATAATTCCTTCTACAAGTACGCATGCAATAGTTTCATTAAAATTTGCATTTTGAACCAAGTCGATTATCCTATTCAAATTATTTGACCCCATTTTTCTAATATGCCAATTGACACAAGATTCCTGATTCACATTTTCTTTAGTTTGAGCATAGGAACCCTGATTTCAGTGTACATGTTAGTCGCCTGAATTTAATGAATAAAACGGATGCATGCAGACATTTTGAACTTGAAAATGTTTTTCCTGGTGTGGATTGTATAGAAGATTCTGAACAAGTCACTTCAGTATTTTTTTCCCCTGTGTTTGCTAATAAGGGTCATTCCTTATGCTTTTTTCAAGATCAACATGGTTATTTTACTAGATCACAACCATGCTTTGGCCAGTGAAAGCTGATTAAAAAAAGCCTTACTTGAGTCTGAAAACCAGATGACAATTATACATCAACACTTAAAATGAACTTGGAGCATTTGGAATTTAGTTACAGCTGGTATTACCTGACTAAGATAACTTTGTTAAAGTAATCACTGGAAAAGATTTGAAGTTAGTAAGTAGCTGTTCACAGTAAGTGAATTACATTCATCCTTTAATAGACCATTTCGTGCTGTTTTAGCAGAGACTATGATGCAGTCTTCAGATATCACAAAGGTATATGACCTTGTTTCCTAGTGGGGTAATACAAGCACCATAGGAGTAATCCCCTTGAAATCAGTAAGGTCATGGTAGATTTATACAGGCACGTGGTAAACAAGGACGGAATTGAGAGGTGTTATAATGAGGTTTTGCTATACTGACTGTTGAAAATTTGACCTTGTTACGCCCAGCAATATTTTTATTTGAGTATGGGAGAATTTTCTTCCTCTCCCTGCCCCCCTTCAGTTTGCAAAGCTGTTTATGTGATGCTTGTATATTTTCATGCTATATAGGCATGTGAAGTGTTTTGCGTCTGCTCTGTGCATCTGTGAATTTTAGTATAGAGGCAATTAAAGACTCGGAAAAAGGTGTTAGTTTTCATGGTATCTCTCAAGATAAGGGTTTTTTTTAAATACTGCCTTTTTAAATGTTCTTAAGTTGTCGTATACTTGCTATGTCAACTCTTGACAATATCACATGTATTTCAATGCCATTCCTAAAATAATATCATGGTTGTCGACTCAGAAGTGTTCTGGTCTAGTTTCTCCTCAGCCCTTCCATATACCTGTGATCCAGAGAAAGCTCTTCAGCCTTTTTCCTCCTGTATCCCAGTCTAAATGTGGATATTAGCAGCTTCCTTATTTCATGGTGTTGATTACAGTTAAGTTGTTTTGGGGTTCAACATGTTATAAACATTTGTCTCACCTTTCTGCTTTTGTTCCTAATACTCCTCACTATCTGCCCTAACAAAAGCACAATGAAGTCATGTTAGCAGAATTTGTCAATCATCCTTCTAACACGAAACATATGCTAGCTAACAGATAAAAAACAGACTTCACTATTTTTCAGGGCTTTTTTCTTTGTGTTTACCTTAGGAGTTCTTGGTGTTTTCCTCTGAAAAATATGGCACGGTCCACTAACAGCTGTTTTTCTATTATACCTGTGGACAAACCAGTAATTGCAGTTGCTTCAACTAATAGCCTCAGCACTTCTCAGTGGAAGCAGCCAAATCCCGGTTCAAGTCATCTTCATTAGTGAATTTCCAGCTTTAACCTGTACCCAGCCATGCTTCAGTACAGAGCTTCATGAAGTTGAATCAGCAAGTTGTGCAAGCCTTCTCTGAATACACGTCCTGGGTGGGTTTTTTGGCCTTGCGGTAGGATCTTGCATCGGATAGTTGTTGCAGTTTATCAGGGGTGGAGGTAGACCTCTAAAACTAGATCACTTTTCCTTGAGTTTTTTTACCTGTGCAGAGGCAGTAGGTATGATTTTACACCCCTTATGAATACAGTACATTTATTTTAGCAAACACATCTGGTAGAGTTAACACACAGCTTGCCTAAATGGTGCTGTGCTTATCGTCCTCATCACACTACCCAGTTCGCCTTCACTGGCCTGGCAGTCATCAGCTGAGGATGTGTTGGCCTCCCTCACTGCTGGGACCATGCCGGTCCTTGGCCTTGCCGAGCTGTCATCCGAGTCATGGGGCGGGGTTTCCCTCAGGGATTTTTATGCTTCCCCCCCCCTCCCCCGGCCCCATGGTTTTTCTCCTGAGTTACTAGTACCAGCTCAGTAGTTTCAGTTATGTCCTTTTTTTATTATTATTATTTATTTTAGTCTTGCATTGGTTTGGAATCTGTACTAGCAGAGTCAAGGTCGCACATCTGTTTCGCCCAAAACTGCACCCTGGGGCACTGATACCTAAAGTCATAGGCATAGTGAGTTACAGGAAGAAATGCAAGTGATAAATAGCTATAGTAGCGAGCCTACATAGAGAACAATGTAAAGGGTAGCCTTATTTTTAATGCTTTTTCACGTTTGTTGATGACCTTTCTTTTCCTTTTTTATCTAATGAAAACTGACACCATAATAGAGTTTTTTTTCAACAACATGAAAACGTTAAGAACAGTTTAAACTAGGGCTGAAGTTGCAGTTGTAGAAAACCAATTAATTTTGCCACATTTTATTTCTTACATACCTGAAAATTTGGATTATAAAATTAAGAAAAACAGTGACTGCTTAAAATGTGTATTTTCACACAATTCCAACATTGTGTATTGCATTTACTTCTGATTTATCTAATTATGTTTCTACTGTGTTCTTAGGAAATTCTTAAGAATGAAAATTATAGAGAAGAAATGAAACAGAAAATCAAAGATGTAGCCGAAAAGGACAAACTGCTTCAGGCCAAGGAATACGAGGAGGGACTTGTTGCTGAACCAGTTCATACTCAGGTCAAAGGCCACGCGTCAGCCCCTTACTATGGAAAGAAAGAGCCTTCGCAAGATCCAACAAGCACTGCGAGTACCTTTCAGCCAGGTTCCTGGATGCCACCAGGCAGTGGCAGTAGTCACAAGAAATAAACTATTGTAATGTACAGATACTGATAATGGATAAATATTTTAATGGACAACATGAACAGCTGCTATATATGAGTGAGTGTGCAATAAAGTAATATTACAGCAGTTTCATTTATTTTTGCAGAACTGTTCAAATAGGCTTAATCATGACAAACTACTGTAAAATATTTGAGTTTAGTGAAAAACAGGATGTGTTACTTAATAAGTTTGTTCTCAACAGTTGCTATTCATCAGTTACTTATAAAATCACAGGTAGGTTTTCTAGCTAACTTAATTTTCTTAAATAATTCTAAATTGTTTTTTCCTTGAAGACTCATTTGTTTTTAATGTAATAAATTTAATTAGTACACAATTTTTCCCAAACCTAGGTGTCAGTTTAAGATAGTTCTTCAGAGCGCTTGTTAATTCCCTTGGCAGTGCCAGTGAGCTTTTCTCTGTCAAGTGGATGGAAAAGTTGATCTCATTAACAGGAATCACTATGACACTACACTGACTACGCACTGTATTAATCTTAGAGACATTCTTGTAACTTAAGAAAACAACATGTTTGAATGTTTGATTTGCAGGCAGCAGTAAGCACAGGATATAATCAGACCGAGTTAATCTACATATAACTACTATTATAGAGGTTGGAAGCACTAGCTAAAGCTGTTGGAAAATAACACAGGATTTGGGACAAGGGACTATCATTAATATTAAAATAATTATCTTTTATTTTTGGTGTATAAGGGGACTTCCCTAAATTATTACATCTATTTGGCCACAGTTTAGATACGTAAAATGTGCGGATTACTTGCTTAGAGATGATGTTTGAGAACTCAAAGTTTGAGAAGTCAAAATAAAGGCCACACAATTTTTTGAAAAAAGTATCAAATTTATTTATGCAGTGTATCCTTTATCAGTTCTCCATGTGTTTTAAGCTATGCAGGTATCAAAGGTGGAACACACACACATTTGACAACACTTCGAGACAGAACAGCAGAGACTTCATCCCCATGTATTTATAAAATGCTGAAATGTCACATTCTAATAATGCTTGCTTTGACCAACAAAACTGGAGGAAGATCAACAACACTTCACATTTACTTCAAGTTATTTCACTTAGACTCCCCACTTCTAATCCCCCTTTCTGTCAGCCAGCTCTTATAGGTCTCCTCATCTGAACAGTGTTATTATTTTAAGGGTTTATTTTTAAACATAATGAAGAACTCATTGCTAGAAAGTACAACTCTGTGTTGCTGTTTAGAAATATGCTAAGTCTAAAAACCTAATGCTCTTAAAACCACAAGCTATTCAGAACTAGACTATTAATAAAAATCAGGCTTTGAAAAATTAATCACTTCTGTTAGAAAAACATGAATTGAAATTAAGCTTAAATAATTTTGGCATATTTACAACACAGACCCCACTTGACTTTTTCCAGTATGCCAGCATTTTGCAACCTGGAAGGCAGCAGAGTTTCAAGGGCCATGAGAAGAAAGATCCCCAAAATCAGAACAAAGATCAGAATGTCCTAAGTCAAAGGTAGCCAGAAGGTTATCAAGTAGGAAGAACTGTCACCAGCATGCACATCCTTCAGTACTCTCCCACAGCCACCTGCTGTAGGTCACTAGGACACAGCACACAAGGCCACCTGGGCCTTTGGTCTCGCCCCATTTATGGCTATTTTTTGAGGCGTAAGAAGTTTTTGAAGGCAGAAACAAATTTGTTACAGGTGGAGTGTTCAGGTGATCGAACCGACCAGCGTAGTAGCATATTTTGTAGAACACGAGTGGCTTAAGACAAATGAAGGTCATAAGAACAAGCAATCAGTTTCCTTAAGTTTGGGCTGAATTTAAAAAACTGTTGATGGCTGGTAGGTCAGGAAACAGGAAAAGCTGTTAGGTTCTTTTTGCAGACAAGCCCCACCATCAAAGACACTACAGTAGCCCCTGTGGGCACACAGCTGAATGGACCTGGGGCCTCAGAGGAAATCAGTAAGGTGTGCTACCTAACTCTGAAGCTAGCTACAGCTCTGCTGAAGGTACATCAAAACTTGCCTTCCTCTAGTCCAGATTATCATTCACATAATTTGACAATTTTAAGACGCTTGTTAAATCATAGCTCAGCTAAGAAAAAAAAAATAATTCTACATCCAGAGCCACCCAACAGATTAATCTTTTAATTTAACATGCAAATTTAGAAAAGCAACTTGCACTAGAATACAAGTAGTAGATTAAGTGACTGTAATACGTGTCACTCGGGCAAACTTTAACACAAGTAATCTCAGCAGAAAAATTACTCTGAAGGGATTAAATTTCATACTTCAAGAAATAACAGGATCAAGTATCAAAGGACAGTTACAACACAAAACCTACAAGTGTTTCATTTGAAAACTGGATTCTCTGCACAAGGAAGACCCCCCCCATTTAATCCTTCTTTGATCGTTTGGCTTTTGCAATATTCTCTTGGCGTTTCTGTTTCTTCTTTTGCTCTCGCTCCCTGGCCTCAATCATTTTTGCAAGCTTCCATGAAAGCGCTGCACTAATTACAAACAATGGTGTAAGGGCCAAGATCACAGTTGTGAGAAAGCCATATGGGTCCTTTGCAGCCCACTCCACGATGTATTCAGCCCAAGCCTTAATATCAAACATTTTTTCTGTTTTTCTATTGGGAAAACCCTACGGAATAAAAAAAAAAGAATTTCTGAGTATTCAGAAAAATAAAAGCAGACATACACGGAAATTACTATTTTAATGTAAGTCATCATCTCTCATTATTGAAGAGCAAGCTCATTTTTGCTAGAAATTAAAAGTAGTGCATAGTACCTGAAAGTAACTGCAACAGGGCAGGGTCAACACTTAGCTTGTAAAGTACGCTGTTAACGAAATAATTAGGCATTTCATCCAACAGAACTTGACATACTACCAGGAAACAATTGCCACGTGGAAATCAAGCGCGGTCTGTGCTGCTTTGGAAGAGACGGGAATGGGGGTGGTCCCAGCCGTCTTATATCTCTGTGGGTTTTACCAGGGAGGCGAGGGGGCAGCGCTCGGCACAGTGCGCTAGCAGCAGCCGG